CCTCCCAGTCTGGTGTAGTGGCTTCCTGGCCTGGTGGGGCAGACGTTTGGACCGGCATGGCAGTCTCTGGGCCTGGCGTGGCGGTCTCTCGGCCTGCTTATGGTGGTCTTTCAGCAGTATGTGGCAGTCTTTTGGCCCGGCGTGGACATCTGGTCTTGAGGGGATTCCTAGAAAGTGTGATCCCAACATGGCTAAGCACTTAAGAAAGATGGTGGTATGTGAACTTTTAGCTTTATTTCTTTCTACCTAAAACTAAGAAGGTGTCACTATACTATAATTACTGCAATGTTTAACTTTTAACTTTGTTCCTTCTTTCTACCTTGCTCTTAAGCTTCTGCAACTAGGTACTTGCACCTAAGCTGGCATTTTATGTGACGACATTATACACATTCCATTGTACTTGAGTGCACATGACAACAAAAAAATCAAATCAAATCAAATGTTTGGGAAGCACCGTTCTAAAGCTACAACATTGGGGGAGAAATACGAGCAGAAATATTTAGCTCTTTGAGCCTGCTCTGCTGTTCAATATAATTTTTACTAAATACTGCAAAGGCTTATGAGGTAACTTAGTACTATGTTTCCTCTTTCTCCCTGCACCCTTTGATCCTTTTAGCCTGAAGAACTATGTTTAACACCTTCTGCAAAACCTTCAATGTTTTGGCCTCAACCGCTTTCAGTGGCAGAGAATTCGAAAGGCTCACCACTCTGTGAGATTTTCTGCTCATTTCAGTACTGAGTGGCCTAACCCATATCCATAGACTGAACTATCCCTTGACTACTGCCTACTGAAGCCACAAAGCAAAGGATTGTTGGTACCCACTGTATATAGAATCCACATAGAATCCCTACAGTGTGGAAACAGGCCCTTTGGCCCAACAAGTCCACACCGCCCCCCCCCCCCCCCACCCCCAACTATAACCCACCTAATCTCCACATCCCTGAACACTACGAGCAACTTAGCATGGCCAATCCACCTAGCCTGCAGATCTTTGGACTGTGGGAGGAAACCGGAGCACTTGAAGGAAACCCACGCAGACACGGGGAGAATGTGCAAACTCCACACAGACAGTCGTCCGAGGGTGGGAATGAACCTGGGTCCCTGGCGCTGTGAGGGCAGTAATGCTAACCACTGAGCCACCGTGCCTCCCCAAGTAAGGCTTTTCACAGCTAACTGCATTACTGTTTATTAATTCTCTCATGCTGCAATATTTAAATTTTGGATTGTTCATATTACTAAGAAATAACCCTACTAAATTTCAGCTGTACACGGGTTATGTCTTAAAAGTATGCTATAAGCACTTCAATATCTATTGTGCTAACCTGTTTGTTTTCAGACTGGAATAAGTGTGTAGCAAGTTGGTACTCCAATCTGCCTTGTCAGAACCTTTTTTTAAATTCATTCATGGGAAATAGGAGGTGCTGGCTATGCCTGGCATTTATTGCTCCATCACTGCCCTCGAAGGTGAGCTGCCTTCTTGAACCATTTCAGTCAATTTGGAGTGGTACACTCATTATGCTGTTGGGGAGGGAGTTGTGGCTTTTTATCAAGTGACACTAAAGGAAAAGCAATATATATCCAAGCAATGATTGTGAGTGACTTGGAAGGAAAGTTGCAGGTAATAATGTTCCTGTGTATCTGCTGTCCTTGTCCTTCTAAATGGTAATTTCGTGCATTTGGAAGGTGCTGTCTCAGCCTTTAGTGTATTTAGATAGGACATGAGTAATAGGGGAAAATGATAAAAACTCCAGGATATGGGGACTCGGACTCGGGATTGATTCCACCCGTGGACAACTGTCTGTGTAGAATTTGCACATTCTTCCGCCCTCTGTGTGGGTTTCCTCCGGGTGCTCTGGTTTCCTCCCACAGTCCAAAGTTGTGCAAGTTAGGTGGATTGGCTACACTAAATTGCCCATAGCATCCAGGGATGTGCAGCCTCAGTGGATTAGCCATGGGAAATGCAGCGTTACAGGGATAGGGTGGAGGGGGTGGGATGCTCTTCAGAGAGTCAGTGAGGACTTGATGGGCCAAATGGCCTGCTTCCACGCTGTAGGGATTCTATGACTATGAAAAGTTTGGAAGTAGACTTGGGAGAAGGAAGTGAAGCAGCTGGGGCAGTTAATTATAGTTTTCATCTTTGTCCGTGAGGTTCTCACACAGCATATATCTAACTTATGCTATCTCGCACGTGGACAAGGTCCAAATTTAACTTGCTAGGCTCAATAACTACAGGGAAGAGGAAGGTTGAAAAAATTCATGAGTGCTGCAAACAGTAAACTGAAAATGATAATACTTCCTGTTATCAGCAAACAGAAGTGGTAAAAAGGCCTGTTGAAAAACTGAGAGCCATATCATGCCTGTACTGCCCACAGAGGAGGCCTGGTTAGTACACAAAGTTATGTTGCCCACATAACACATTAAACCTCACAGTTACACAGCAGCATGTGTCTGTGTTCAACAAAACTATATATGGATGCAACCAAATAAGATATGCGACTCACTCAATGTGTTCATCAGTCATAACTGGAGTCACAAGAGGTCCTTGGAAATTTCTCATGATCAAGCTTCCTTTGCATCAGGTCAACAATATGACCTATGACCTATATGCTCATCTTCCAGGTATTGCGCTACTCCCTTTGGAGCTCTCTTTTAAAATCATTTGCCTTCCACGAACTCAAGCTCCTTAAAATCTTTATTTTTAACAGGGCATTTGCTTGTTCCAGGCAGCCCACCTTCCCAATTATTTCTGTAGCACTGGCACCTTGTGCACTTATAAAATAGCATCTCAGGATATTTATGTCAATATAAATTGTAAACTGTTTTTACTCAGAATAGTATGATTATAGTCACAGATTACAAAGAAGGCTAGAAACAAACTATATGGTGCTGAAAATTTCACAGGAGTTGATGTCAGCAGCAGACACAAAAAGATAGGTGCATGTATTAAAAAGGATCCTTTTCCTGGAACTCTTGAAAACTGCAAGATCTATTTAAATTATCAAACAAGGGAAAAATATGTTTAGAAGGGGCGTATAACCTTTGATACGTTGTCTGTCAAACTTAAGGAGAAGGAGTTGTTAATCCCACTATCTTAAACATTCAATCTCTCCACCTGCAAATGCACAGTGGCAGCAGTGTGTAACATTTACAAATCGCACACCAAGCCACTTATGACAGCAGCTTCCTGTGAAGTCCAAAATGGACAAATAGGGCAGCAGAAGCATGGGAGCAGCACCACTTGCAAGCCCTGAGCCTCCAATACCATTCTGACTTAGAACTACATCACCACTCCCTTCACTGCAGCTGGGTCAAAATCATGGAATCTCCCTTGCTAACCACTTTGCATGTCTCCCTACCAGTGCAGTCTTCAGTGGTCAATAAGACAGCTCACCACTACCTTCATCTCAAGGGAAATAAGCAATGGGCAGCAAGCTCATGTCCTATGAAGTTTTAAAGAAGCATGAACACTTGTTTTCTTTCCACAGATGTTGCCAGACCCGCAATTTCTGTTTTTGCTTCAAATCTCTAGCATCCACACATAGTGGTGGGCGTGTGGAATGTGCTGCCAGCAGTAGTCATGGAGTCAGATACTTTAGAGACTTAAGTGACTCTTGGATAGGCACATGGAGGATAGTAAAATGTAGGGTATGCGGGGTCGATTGATCTTAGTAGGATAACAGAACGGTGCAACATTGTGGGCCGAAGGGCCTGTACTGTGCTGTACTGTTCTATGTTCTTAGAGCCTGTTTCTGTGCCGTATGACTCTTTGGCCCAACCTGTCCACGACAGCCAGGTTTCCTAAACTGAAGTAGGCCCATTTGCCTGTGTTCGTCCATATTCCTCTAAACCTTTCCTATCCATTTACCTGACCAAATGTCTTGTAAATGTTGTAATTGTGCACACCTCCACAACTCCATATATTCTGCGAAAAAGCCTCTCCGGTCCCATTTAAATCTTTTCCCTCTCACCTTAAACCTAAGCCCTCTAGTTTTGGACTCCCCTACCGTAGGGAAAAGGCCTTGGCTATTTACCTGATGTTTTTATAAATCTCTATAAGGTCACCCTCGGCCTATCCAACCTCTCGTTATACCTCAAATTTTCCAGTCTTGGTAACATCTTTGTAAATCTTTTTTATACCCTCTCCAGTTTAATAACATCCTTTCTGTAGCAGGGCAACCAGATTTGTACACAACTCTGTACAAATATAGCGTTACCATTGTTTTGCACAGTTGTAACATGATGTTTCAACTCCTATATTCAATACTCAATACACTGATCGATGAAAGCAAGTGTGCCAAATACTTTCTTCACCACCCTGTCGAGCTGTGATGCCACTTTCAAGGTACTATCTACCTGCACCCCCAAGTCTCTTTGTTCGACAGCATCGACAAGGGTCTACCAATAACTGTGTAAGTCCTGCCCTGGTTTCTCACCAAAATGCAACACCTCACATTTATCTGCGTTAAACTCCATCTGCCATTCCTATTTTCTTTGTTTTATCTCATGAAAGATGGTTTTTCTAGTTTGACACATGTGGAACATCACTCGTTGAGGACAAGGTTAGGATAGCAGTTAGTGGTAGGGTTGCGAGGAGGAGTGTGGATTGAGGCCAAGACTCGGGAACCATCTAGAAGCTGTCATGATTGAGTTGAAATTCTAGCTGGATGACTCAAGCCTACCTTCCTGGTCATCTCCGCTCCTCTTATTCCGGGAATGCAAATTTGAGCTCAGTCCATTCCAAGACAGAAAAAAAGATAAATGATTTATTTTTGATTTTTTTTCACGACTTAGGAGACCGGTGTTACCGCATCGCTTTTGGGGGATGCAGGGATCCTCGGGGCCGTCGGTTGCTAAGCAACCGTCTATTTCATATAGCAGCCTCCCCACAGCCGCGGTCTCGAATGACGCAATGACGCAGAGGGTGGTGCGCGTTCGTCCCCTCCCCCATGGGGCGGAGAGGTTGTGGCGGAAGCGCGGCTGCGCAGTCGGGGAGGCCGGTCCGTTGTGCCGGCGACGCGCACGCGCGTCGTGTGGGGTCCTTCCCCCTTCCCCCCCATCCCACTCCCCGCCTCCCTCAAGACTCGGTTCGCTCGCGCTTCTTCACTTTCTCGGTGTCGGTGAGAGTAATGGCGGAAGGTGGGGTCCCGGACCTAGACAGCCAGAAGAACGAGATCGGGAACTTGTTGAATACCTCGCTCAAGAAAGGGGATTCGTGGTACGCGAAGGCGTCGGGATTTTGGGGGTGGGGGTAGTCGTCGCAGCGGTGATTTAACGCCTCAGGGTCAGGGTGAAGGCCGTGGGTAAGCCCCAGCCCCCTCATTCCCCACTAACCTTCTCTCCCCTTAGTTGCTGGATCTGAAGCAAGGCGTTGGGATAAAATACGGCCGAGGGTGAGCCGGGCCGTGAGGGTCAAATCCCGGGCAGAGCTGGGGTAGGGAGGTGGCCGGTTTGCCATGTGATGGGTATAGGCCTCGGGATTCCGCTAGTGAACCGACCCGGGAAACCCCGGGCCCAGTTCCGACCCTCCGCGCACACAGCACCCCATGCCCATGTCGGTGCAATAACGTGGCCTCAAAAGCCGGTATCTTAGAACATTGTCCAGCCACGAAAACACTAAATCCCGAAGGAGACTGTTTTAAAAGGTTACTTTCAACCTTGGAGCGGATGTTTCGAAATATTAAGGTCTCTGATCCAACTGTGTTTATGTTGAGATTTGATTGCTCGCCAGCGGTCCGCAGCACGCACACTTATAATAACATTTTACTGTAAATGACACTGCAGTTTTATGTGAACTTTATGTTCCATGCACAACAGTTTTTCCGACGGTAGGCTGGTTGCCAAAACATCCTGTTTCTTGCTTGCCCCATTTTTGCCAGTTCCTTTAATTTTTAAGAATGTATTTACGCTTTCAATCTGTATTCAAAAGAAACTTTACTACGACAAGACATTTTTACTATCTATTAACAAAGTGATAGTTTTGGTCAATCATTTTAAGAATTTTACCCATGTGGGTCTGAGTATGTTCAAGTTAGTTAGAACAGGAGAGGGGGCCATCTTTTAGCTGGTTATAAATCCTGAATGCATTTAAGAATTTTCACTTTAAGCACAGCTCTTTCTTGCTGGCCCAGCTGTTCTATTGTGGGAATTAGATCCACTCAGTTCATCCAAGTATTTTACTGTTGCAGGACTTGTATGTTAAAGCAGTTTGGAATTAAGTGTGCATATATTCCCTGAGTAATTTTTGAAAAGTAGAGTACTAACACAATATCATGTCTGTTTACCTTTAACTGGCAAGCTCACTTTACTATTGCAAACAGAAACGAAGGGAAGAAAGAGGGCATTGCTCCAGGCCACCCTTCTGCACTGACAGCTGTCATTCAGCTAAGCATTAGAAAATCTACACTGGGGAGTAGAATGTTTTTCCAGTTTTGTTATCCACTGTTGATGCAACACATCCCAAGGCACAGTCCAATGTACATTCAACTGCTGTTCCCACAAAATACACCTTTAATTTAGCACTTTTTATGTTACTTATTTATTGCTAAATAGGTGCTAGTTTATACCAAATTACAGGCAACTTTTGTGGTGTAAACATGCAGTGCCCAAGAAAAAGGACTGAAGCTATGAAGACAAACTTCTGTATCAAATCTTTTACATTGAGTGAAGAGAGGGAAGAACTGTGATCCTAGAAATCTGAATGAAATTGAAGCCAAGTTTCAGAAGGGAAGGGTGATAAGATTGAATAGGAAACAGTAAGATAGTAATTATGTTGCTAGGTTAGTAATCCAGACTCCTGAGCTAATGATCTTAGTATTGAGTTCAAATTTAGTGAATGAATAAATCAATAGTGTCAGTAATGGGGTTCATGTAACTTCTGGGGTGTCAAAGGAAAAAAAACACTTTGATTACAAATGTTTTTCATGGAAGGAAATTGCCTTTATTCTGTCAAGCCTATATGTGACTCCAGACTAACAACAATGTGGTTGACCTTTCAATACCCCTCTTAAAAGAACAAACAAAAGTTTTCAACCAAGAATAGTTAGGGATGAACAAATAAATGCTCCTGGTCTTGTCATTGACACCCATTCAGTGAATGAATAGAAAGAGGTAACACTTCCCACTGTAACCTATTTTCATGTAGAGGAAAGAAAAGAAAATATTTTCATTGTAAAAATTTCTTCTTTAGTAGTCATGCGAGCTGTTTATCTGTGCCTTAGATCTGGTAGCATTTCAATCAAAAAGCTGTGTATCCAAATCTTCAAATCAGATTTGAGCACTAAATCATTTTGATATGTGTCTTGTACTCTGGGAGAATGCTGCGTTTGCTTCATTGAAGAGGTACCATCTTCTGGATGAGTCATAAACAGTCTGAACTCTTGGGTGGGTATAAAACATCCCTTTGCGCTATCCCGGGAAGAGCAGGTGAGTTGTCCAATAGTCCGAGACAACGTTCATCCCTCATATGGCCCTCAGATGATATGGCCCTTTATTTTGTAATTGTGGTAGAATTTTGCTCTGATTTTGTCTGCAACTGTATATCCTCGTCCCTCTGCTCTATCATTGGTAGCAGAAGTTTGAAAACATCAGACAGTTTCACTGTGGTCCCCTTGATTTGTTTCTCTCACTGGATTTAAAAGCTCTAGAAATTGATTTTTAAATCCATTTTGGTCAACTTTTATGACTTCACTCACTGTCTAAAATTGCTTATGTTGTGTATCTTGCTCAGTCCCTGTTGTGTTTGTTGCAACCAAGCTAATATAACTGTGTTTTGCAAATACACATAATTGTTTAACTCGGTCACCATACCACTGAAATGCCTCCTGTATAATTGTTTCTAAATTGCATTTTCCCCGAAATAAAACACTTCCCAAAATCCTTGACCATGTTCAGTTCAACCTTATGTGTGCACAATCTGAACTTTCATGGCCTTACTTGATGTACCTAGTACTTTAAGACTCTCACTTCTGTTGTACAATATTGTTACTAAGTTCTGTTACATATTTAGTGACATCAGAAACTTCTTGTCTTCATGCTGTAGGTGTTGCACATCTTGAAAATTCTGAAGGGGAAGTATTTAGCATTGTATCTGACTAAACCTGTCAGGGCAAATGCAAATTAGAATAAAGATATGAATGTGAAACTGAGCGCATTTCCACAATGAATACTGGAGGAAAAAGGTGTTGATGCATAGTTGATAACAGACTGAACTTCAGTTAAACTCTTCCAGTTCATTTCTTTAGACAGATATCAAAAGTTCTACTGGTCCCAAGCATACTCTTTGTTTCAGTTTGTGTAAATACATAAGATGGAAGAAGAAATTGAGGGGAAAAAAAATCATGAAGCAATTCTTACTACACCCCATTGTATTTCAACAAAAAATTAAGTGGAAGGAAATCTAAGGAAAGTTAAAGAGGCAGTAGTTAGAATGGAGATAGCCATAAGAAAATTACCTCTGCCAGTAGTCAGTGGATCAGTTACTTGAGGGTACAGAAAGAGAAATTCTCATCACAGAATTTTTTTTGTGTATGGTTCAACATTTATTAGGATTCAGATGTGTTCATAGGCGTCAAGAACAGTGCTCGTGATTTATTATGTTGTAGTTATTCCCAAAAGGGGATTTGCAAGGTTGGTAATGAATACATTTTATTAGAACTTATTATGGGGACCTGCGGACTGTTGCACTGCACTTCTTAAAGTTTTGTTCTTGGGATGTGGATGCCATTGGCAAGGCCATACCATGATTGCCCTTCAGGAGTTGGTGTGTTGCCTCAAATTGCAGCTGTATATGTGCAGGTCACCCCACAATACTGTTGAGTCAGAGTTTCAGGATTATGATCCAGGAACATGGAATGGTGATAAGTCACCAAGTCAGGGTAGTGTGCAAGTTGGAAATGATGGGTTCTCCCATGCAATTATTGCCCTTCTTCGAGATAGAGGTTGCTGTTATTACCTTGATTCTTATTGCCCGTACCTTTGTTAACTTCTTGATTAAAAGTTATGAATTTAGCGCATCTTTTAGTAGTACTAGTTTGAGTTTATTCAGTTGTATAGGTTTTATAGGATAAGCAGCCCTGAAGTAAGCCATTAGCTGTTTCTGTTCCACTTGAGTCTCCTCTTTCCTTATCCAAGCCTATTATTGTAATCCCATATTCACACTCCTTCATGTACTTTCTGCCTTCCCCTTAAATGCATCTATATGTTGACTCTTCTTCAATAAGGGAACTAACAGCAATTAAAAAGATGTAAGTTGAAGATTTAATGCTGGCTGAGTACCATGCCATTTTTTTAAACCCCTATATTTGATGTTGCATTTCCACAGAAATTTAATAAATCAATGATGCCAATTTGCAAAGATTTCAATAGGCAAAGAACACAACCATGCATATGTTTAAGTTCCACTCAAGTCTATTTCTATCTTTTTTGATTTAAATTGACCATTTTGATCTATTTCTCCCTTCTTCAAATGTTTGTTTGGCTTCCTCTTAAATGCGTTTACACTGATTCAGCTATTACTGTGATAGTGAGTTCCACGTTGTTACCATTCCTTAAATAAAATTTCTTCTGAATTTGATATTCGATTTCTTATTTTTATATTGATGGCCCCACATGGAAGCACTTTTACTGTATCCATCAAAAGCTTTCGTATTTTGCAAGTTATTTGACTTACTAGATCACCCTTCAGGCTTTTTTTCAAGAGAAACGACACAACCTGTTTGTTCTTTCTCTCCTGATATGCATACCCATGCATTTTTGCTATCGTCCTTGCTATCATAGGGTAGGCGATGGCCTTGTAGTATTATTGCTGGGCTGTCAACCTAGACACCAAGGTAATGTCCGGGAACCTGGGTTCAAATCCCACCGTGGCAGACGGTGGCATTTGAATTCAATAAAAATATCTGGACTTACGAGTCTTATGATGACCATGAAGCCATTGTTGATTGCTGTAAAAATCCATCTGGTTCACTGATGTCCTTTAGGGAAGGAACCTCCATCCTTACTTGGTCTGGCCTACGTGTGACTCTAGACCCGCAGCAAAGTGGTTGACACTTAACTAACCTCTGGGCAATTAAGGATGGGCAATAAATGCTGCCTGACCAGCGATGCCCTCATTGTTTGAATGAATAAAAAAAAAATCTAAAACATCTGCCTGATTCAAAGCAGGAAAGGTCTTAGAAGCATCATGAAAGAGAAGGCATCGTCTGCAGTTCACAGGTGACTAGCCCAGGGAGATGTGAATAAATATTGTTGGTAACTGAATTCTTTGTGAAATGCACCACAGGGGAAGCAGAATCCAGTGAAAGAATTGATGAAACCCTGGATCATTAAACCTTTGGTGTAGCACTCTCCCAGTTGAGCTATTAAAGTTTCACTTGGAACCTGTGCCTTCTTATTTCCTTTCTTTTAGGTAGCTTAATCTCTGCAGTTTATCAAATTTTGTTTATGGGCTTGATTTTATACGTCTTTAAGCATTCAACTAGTGAAGAATGGTTGTATTCATTGAACAGTTTGCTATTTGAAAGGTTTTGATTTCATAAGCTTGTGTGGGATTAGAAAATGTAAAGATTAGTTTTGTTAATGTAATAAATATGGTATTGCTCGTGTCCTTGGAACCCATGATGCTGGCAGACAAATTGATCAGGTACTGATCTCTAGCATTTTGGCTACAAGCTCAAATAGAAAGTGATACATTGGAAGTTTACAAAAATCAATTTGTGTAATTCTAGCAAAATGATCTCGTCTTTAACCTGTAAGAGGGAGCTGTAATAACGACAACCTGACAGGTTGGATACTTTCTTCAGATAAAGTGAATCATTCATAATGTCTTTAATTTCCTGGGTATGTTTCAGAGTACTTCATAACTAATGGATTGTGTTAACGAAATATAACTACTACTGTAAAACTAAAACCGCAGTTGATTTTGCATGCATCAAGGTTATGCAAACAAAAATGATACAGAATTTACATTCTACAAACAGTCCCTCTTTATGCATCACAGTAGCCTGCCTTTCTCCCTCATTCGTCCAATTCTATCCACGTATCCTTTTACTGTTTAACACATCATAATAGCTAATGTCCTTTTAAATACATCTATATTATTATGTTCCATATTCCAACTATTCTCTGCATTTAAGAAAAGTTTCTTCTGAATTCCTTATTTGATTTATTACTCCTAATTTTAAACAACTGTGCATGTGGAAGGATATCTACATCTATCCAATATCTCCTTTCTAACCTGACTTCTGTTTGGTCATCTTCAATCTTCTATTTTGTGGAGAAAGGAAGAACCTACAAAGTCTTCCCTGATAGTTAGAACATTTCAGTTCCATTATCACCCTTATAATTTTTTTGAACTTGCCCCAGTGCCACTATCCTATACATAATTCAAGGACCAGAATTGTACATAATCATCTTTTTCTTGGTGTTGACTGAAGGAGGAGTTTTAATCAGGCCAATGGAAGAACAGTTCCCATCATCAAAGAGGCAAAGTGGGCTTCTGTTAAGTTCTTATCTGAAATTCAACATCCCTGACAATGCACAACTCTTTCAGTTTCTGCCTGTGCTTTGAACTGATATCCTGGAGTGGAGCTTCAATTGAAAACCTTCTGACTTGGAGGTGCAAATGTTCTATTGCCATTGCCCTGAAACTGAACTGGCAACAGTATAAATATTGTGGCTATAAGAGCAGGTCACAGGCTATGACTTCTGCAGCGACTAACTCCCTGCTGACTGTCCACACAAAGCACAATTCAGGCGTGTGATGGAATACTCTCCATTTGCCTGGATGAGTGCAGCTCCAACACATACAACTTGACACCATCCAGGACAAAGCAGCCTACTTGACTGACGCCATATACATCACCATAACATTACTCCGTTCACCACTGATGCACATTGACAACAGTGTGTACCATCTACAAAATGTGCTGCAGTAACTCACTCAGGCTCCTTGGGCAGCACATTCCAAACCACAACCGATACCCCCTTGAAGGACAAAGGTGTAGGTGCATGGGACCAATATAACCTGCAAATTCCCCTGTAAGCTGCATGTTTCCTGACTTGGAACTATATTGCCTGCTCCCTCATTGTCATTAGGTTAAAGTCTTGGAGTTCCATCTCAAACAGCACTGTAGGTGTGTCTGCACTGGTTCAAGAAGACAGCTCACCACCACCACTTTCTCAAGGGTAAATAAGGGTGAACAGCAAATGTTGTCTGAACAAACAATGTCCATGTGCTGTGAAATAATAACTACTGGTACTTTTGCCTCAGTGCAAGAAGTTCCAACATGGTAACATTTTCCAATCTCTCTTCAAAGCATTAAATGTTCTTTTCAACAATCCACGAGTAAACATATTGACAGTATGGTACTGATTAGAGTGTGTTGAGGAGGTTCCAGGTTACGGTGATTATCATCTGGGTGCTATATTGATCTCTCTCACATTAAGTTATGTGAGAGGAAAAATCTACCATTAACTTCCGAGCAATATTGAGTTTGGGGTTATTTTGCTGGCATTTATGGTTGAACGTTTCACTGAGATAATGGCAGTTTGCAGGAATTTTAAACACTTTGTGGCCAATAAAACAGGCACAAAGGCAGCACCTTGATAGCAAAAAGTGTTACATACAAGTTATGTCTTGTCTTTTATCATTTTTAACTTTAATTTAAAAGGAGTAGCATAGTGGTAACGTTACAGGGCTAGTAATCCAGAGGCCTGCACTAATGCTTCAGAGTCACAGTTCGGATCTCGCGGTGTCTTTTGGGGGAACTTAAATTCAATTAACTAATTAAATCTCTAATTTTAAAAGACAAGTCTCATTAATAAGCCATTTGATTCAGAGAATTCCTTCAGAGGGTGGGTGAGAAGGGCAGATGTCAGCCGCCCTTCTCCATTTTGTCCTATGTGTGATTCCAGACCAACAGCAATGCAGTTGACACTTAACTGCCCTCTGAAATGGTCTGGTTTAGGAGCAATAACTGCTAGCCTTGCTAGTGACACTTGCAAGCCAAGAACCTAAAAACATTGCACCTTGGTGTCCGTCAATGGCGAGGGAAGGTATCAGTGTACTTTCTGATACAGCTGGAAGTGTATTGCCAGAAGATTGGGTACAGATCATCTGCCTGTCCTGCAAGTCACTGAAATTCTCAATTAGTGGGATGGATAGGACGGAAATAGTAATCTTATACACTCAATAATTTGTTTGATTTTCAGGTTCCTAATAGACAGTAGGTGGTTTAAACAATGGAAGAAATATGTGGGTTTCGACAGCTGGGACATGTACAGCGTGGGAGAACACGGAATGTTTCCAGGCCCCATTGATAATTCTGGGCTTTTTGCAGGTAATGAAAGTTGGACACCGTTGAACATTATTTTATATGCAGGTATTAGATTTGTTGTGTGTTTCAGTGAAAGCACATTCAACTTTTGACTGATGTGTTTTCGTCATATGGGCAGTGTACATTTCTTTAAGCACAAAATATTTGTTCTAACTAATACATTTTTTTGGGAGTTATTTAAAAAATAAAACTATTGTAATCCTGTCAGATTTACAGCTTGGAAAGCTAGATAAGAGCAAGTGGATTTAATATTGGTATGTATAATTCATGTTACCTGGCTTGTTCAGTTTGTTTTTAAATCTGTAAATCAAAGTTTCTAGCAAAGAAGAAGGCCATCTCGCCCATCGTGTCTGTATGTACAGCAGAATTAACAATTAAGTTTGAAGAAGTAAATCAGTATAGCCAAGTTATAAATGGGACTAAGTCAGGAGACACACTATATTTTGATAGAAAATTACAATAAGACACTGCAGAACAAATGAGTATGTTAAATTTTTGGAAGATGGATGTTTTAAATGAGGGAAATGTAAAATTGTTAATTTTGGATTCAAGAGCGATAAATTAGAACTTTTTTAAGATCCTGAAAAAACTAGGAACAATGAATGGGAAATAGGATTTGAAAGTTCAGATGGAAAAGTAATAAGCTGGTGCATATGTACGAAAAATAATCAAAACCCGAATGGAAATATTGGTTTTATTTCAATTCGATGGCAGTACAGCATTGAGGAAGTGATAGTGGTGTGCATATAAACTGTGCCATGACCCATCTTGAGTACTGTGTTCAGTTTTTGGCTCCTCAGGAACAATGACATCAACATTGGAGGGAATGCAGAACTGATTCACCACGTTGATACTAGGGTTTCAGCAATGATATTGTGACGTCAATTTGCATTAAATTGGTTTATAATTCTTCCGATTTTCTAAGTTTGTGGGTAATCTAATCAGCATTTTGAAAACTGAAATCAACTAATTTTTACTAAGTAAGGATTCAAAATATGTGAATTAAATGTGTACAATTGGTGTGTGATATCAATTGTCCATAAAACACAATGGTGGAATATGTCCATGGAGTTATGTTTGTAACCCAAACAAATACATAAACTTTATCCTTAAGAGATTATACTTTTAGCTGAAATCTGATTAATTATGTTCTTTAAACAAATGTTGGCTTTGCATGTGTAATTCTGCTTTGATAGACATGTACCAGTGTGAAAGAGCCACTTATTTTGAAAACAAATGTTTTTCCACAAGTTATAATTGCAATTGACTCAATGTCGCTGGCTACTTTGAAGAGAAGTTTGAAATGTAATTTGCACCATTCTTTTAAAATAATGGCTTGACTCCAGATGTTTCGTTTTCTAAAGATGATTCTATAAGAGCTATTTAAATGAGTTTAAATAACATCGCAGTGTTAAAACGACTTTAATTTCAACTTCATTCGGAAGATCTAATGCAGGAGGGAAGTACACAGTAAATGGCAGACCCTTAGAAGCATTAACATACAGAGGGAGCAAGAAGTACAGGTCAGTAGTTTCCTGAAAATGGTGAGACAAATGGATAAGGTGGTCAAGAAGGCATATGCCATGCTTGCCTCCTTCAGTCGGGGGCATAGAGTATAAAAATTGACGAGTCATGTTGCAGGCATACAGAACTTCAGTTTGGCCCCGTTTGGAACATTGTATAAAGTTCTGGGTGCCACACTACCAGAAGGATATGAAGGCTTTGGAGAGGGTACAGAAACAGTTTATCAGGATGTTATCTGGTTTGGAAGGCATTAGCTATGAAGAGAGATTGGACAAACTTATTATGTTTTCACGCAAAAGTCAGTGCGTGACAGTTGACCTGATATAGAAGTTTACAAAATTGCGAGGCGTGGATAGTCAGAATCTTTTTCCCAGGATAATGTCAATTACTGGAGGACATATTTTTACAGTAAAAGGGGGAAAGTTTGAAGGAGAAAAGAGAAGTGAGGTTTTTTGCACAGAGCGTGGCGAGTGCATGGCCAGAAGAGTTGGTAGAAGCAGATACAGTTGCGATGCTTAAGAGACATCTTGACAAATACATGAATAGGCAGGGAATAGAGGGATACAGACAATGTGGAGGCAGAAGCTTTTAGTTTAGAAAGGCGTCATGTTCTTTGAATTGCAGGGTCGATCACCGCATTACAGTTCCTAAACCAATCTTTGCTGCTGTGGGAATGCACCAAATTAAATTTGGGTGCCTTTCTATCTTTAGAGGATACTGAGTTGCTTCCAAGTTGTTCTTTGATGTCTTCTGTCAAGTATATCATGGCAGCATAAGCAGAGACATGGAAGTAGGTCAGTATTTTAAATGCAAGTTGTACAAGGCCCTCACGATAAGTTAAATTGCTGAGAGTTTTTCATTACAGCACTTTTTGCATCTAAACTTGTCAGGAGTAGAATTATTTTTGTTTTATAATTCAAGAAATATTCATGGATATGCTGGTCTCCTACAGTATTTTCCCCTCCTTCAATGTCAATTGTAATTTATTAAAAATAAAATTATATTTTAGGAGTTTAAAATGAAAGGTATTTACATTATTGTGAACTTGTAATATTCCAAATAGAAGAATATCCTCTTCCAGATTCACATTTTTTGGATGAACTATGATCAGGTCTAATGTTTGGCCACAATATAAGTTTACCTGCTTGCAGTCCAAAATCTTGGTTTCTGTCAGTTCATGTTGAATGTCCCTTCTAAAGTAGAACTGCTGAAATGGGATTCTTGGCTGAAATGCTCTGTGAACATCCAGAGGTCAGATTAAAGAGTGGTGACTGTCTGACATCCTTGGCTCTTGTTGATAACTGTCTGAGTGGTTCAGAATAGTTCAGTTGCTACCCATGAAATCCCGCTTGTTTTGTGTGATATCTGCCAACTGGTGATTGTCATCATGTAATCAAAGGTTCTTATAAGCCTCAATGGTATCTTCTAAAGAAACTGATGCCAAATGGTATTTTATCAAATGATTAGAGACCAACAAATCTGGCTTCTAAAAACAGCATGGTACACGATTTGGCTCATGTACAAAATTTATATTAATGACGGCATCTCCTGCACCTCTTCCACATGGCTGAATTGCTGTTGCACAAAGTACCTGCTACCTACTTTTTCTTTGTCTTTCTCCATTCCTTGCGTATTGGGCCATTTTCTTGATTAGCACCAACTGTACACTGGGCTGTTAAAAAGTAAAGCAAAGTGGAATGAACTAATATTTAAACATGGGTAAGTTGAAGACAGCAAGTTATGGATTTTACATAAATGCATGAATAATAATGGAATTTGAGCTGAAAATACTGTACCTTATCCAGTTGCTGAATATGTTGCAGGTAGTATTGTAAGTTGCATGTGTTAAAAGTGCTTATTATTCCCTTATTTGAATGTTCTCAAAGATCTGAATTATTTTGAGAAAACATTTAGTTAAACCACACACAGTTATATCTAAGCCACACCTAAATGTTTGTCATATAATCAGTTCAGTTATTGTAATTATGTAAATTTTCGCCAATCATTCTTTCCAAATGCAGGTAAAGATGCTTAGGAATATGGAGGAATGAGAACTTATTAATGTTGCAGGAATCTTAACTTGTAATTTATTCCCTATGGTTTTCATAGATATAGAAACACAGGCCCTGAAAGAACACTTGATTGATGAGTTGGATTATGTCCTGGTTCCCACTGAAGCTTGGAACAAGTTGGTCAGTTGGTATAGTTGTGTTGTAGGTCAGGAACCCATTGTACGAAAGGTAAGCCTGTTAAAACTCATTAATTCCTTGGATTTATTTCTGAATTTCAATTTAATATTTTAAAAATTTGTTTTGACAGTGAACTGAATTGTATAAAAGCCAAAAGAACTGTGGATGCTATAAACAAAACAGGAACAAAAACCAGTTGCTGGAAAAGCTCAGCAGGTCTGGCAGCATCTGTGAAGAAAAAAAATCAAGAGTTTATGTTTCAGGTCCAGTGACCCTTCCTGAGCTTTTCCAGGAACTTCTGTTAATTGTAATGAAGTGTGTGGAATTGTTTCTAGTTCATATTGTAAAATGAAAATGAGCTTAAAACCTAAGAAATATAATTCTGCTGAATAGTAATTTGAGAGAAACTGTTTTTAATCAATTATATTTTTAAAATATGAGTAATGCTTGTAAAGCCACATTTACTGCCTGTTCCTATTTGTTTTGAGTAGGCTGCTAGACAACGTTAGTGGACACAAGCTTGAGTTTTGACTTGGATCTCATGTAGTAAAACACTGCTGCAACTTCCATGGGTGCCAATGCTCAAATTATCAAATTGATTGAACTTAAAACCAACACTTTACATTTGTTGCAGGTTCATTTAAGGTGACCACCGAACTCTATGCATAATTTGAGCATAAACAGCGAAAATTGAGGAAAATTTCTCTATATAGATCGCAAATCAAGAGTTGTCTGTAATATATTCCTTGCCCAAATCTGATGTATATAAAAAATAGAAGATTGCCCCTACTGTCCAGTCAGGGTCGAGTAATTTTTTTAAGCAAAAACTATTCAAGGCAACTGCTTTTACGAAAAAGTTAAGCTGAGTATAACTATACATGTACACAAGCTAGAAACCATGGCAGCTACAAGTCATTTGATGATGGAACTTAGTTGTATGTGAATTACAAAGGCATATGCCCAGGTGTGTAAACATCTTCGTCCTAATGATAACTTTGTTTATTAACAATTCATTATGACCAGGTAACTTTTACTTTGACCAGAAGTGGGGCTGAGAACCACACGTGGGGAAAGAACTCTCTGGAATCCTAGTGTCTTATTATTTAGGTTTATTGGATGCGTTACCCACCATCAGCAGCTATCTTAGCTTGCTAGCTAAAAATAATTTTAAAAGGAAAGCTGCCTGGACAAAGAGATTCTATCTTGAACCAGCCAGAAGGAACAGCTCTCTAGGTAGAGAATGAGTGAGGAAAGACAGTGAGAGAGGGGGGCATATGAAACCAGTTACGACATATAACTTGGCAGCTTGAAATGCCACACCTGCAGAACCTCTCGCTCCTTTCTCACTACCAAAATGTGCTGTCCTATGGAATCTACATGCCTAAGAAAATGCCATCGTAGCATTGACTTCAAGATAATTTTGTTTCAGCAGCAAGGAGCTCTAGCAATAGGGTCTGAATGATATATCACAAAGACTTACTTGGGCTTTCTTCTGAAAGTATTCTTTTTGTTTCATCAGTACTACTTTTAAACTCGATGCCTGTATTTTCTTATTTGTAACCTTATCCCTTTATCCAGAAGAAACATTCAGCAATAACTTGTAATAATTTAACCTTTGCCTGTTTAAACCAAAAGTTTAACAGCTGGTCAACTTTAACTTGTGCATTACAAATTAAAAGGGGACTAAACAAAATATGTTAATCCACCATTCATTGACCATACAGGGAACATGCACAGTGGACATGGAGAGAACAAACATTAAGCGTTGGATAGAATTTTCTGCAAAGTATACATTTCAATTCTAAGCAGTCATGCTAGTATGGTTAAGTTGAGAAAGTTAGTTTGTACAGATAATTTATTCTCCATGATGGATTTTTGTGGTGTTGTAATTTTTTTTATTTGAAACCTGGCCTACCAGTAGGCAAGTATCTACTCCATATTCTACAATCGATGGTATAATCGTTGAGTATATTTTAACATGGAAAGTAACTACTGGTAGATAAATTGAGCAAAGTTTGCATAGATTTTAGTCAGGTTAATTCTTTTAAGCTTTGTTTTTACTATATTTTACAATTGAACAAATGCTCAGTTAGGTCCAAGCCAAAGGTTTAGTGGCTTTATGCTATTCTGTTTCTTGGCAGCTGTTTTTGTTTTTGTCAAGTGTGAAGAATAAACTTGAGCATCTGAATTCCAAAACTTCATCTTTACATTCTTTGGCATCATGCTATATAAGTATGTGCCAGACACAGTCGCGTATGCACCAGACACAGTCGCGTATGCCCCATATGTTTTTTGTCAGCATTTATTTATACAAATGTCCAAACTCTCAACCCCAAATTTTACATAGTAAAAACCGAAAGATCTGCGGATGCTGTAAATCAGGAACAAAAACAAAGTTGGTGGAGAAGCTGAGCAAGTCTGGCAGCATCTGAGGAAGGGTCACTGGACCCGAAACGTTAACTCTGTTTTTTTCCTTTACAGATGCTGCCAGACCTGCTGCGCTTCTCCAGCAACTTTGTTTTTGTTCCCAAATTTTACATGTTTATTGTAATTTGAAACAAGAAATGCTAGCTTGAGGATAATATATCTGTAGTGACTATTGAAGGCTTGTGTTACAGTTCACTTGGAGTCAAGAGTTGCTGAGCCGACATGTATGTTGTAGTCTTGAGCTGTGGATGATAATGACAGAAAGAACATTGGAAATTCTTTGATATAGATAACTTCTTGATTGGTAGGGGGAATCGAGGAAATACGGGGAGAAGGCAGGAGAATGGAGTTGAGGAACAAATCAGCCATGATCAATTGATGGTGCAGACTCAATGGGCTATGTGGCCTAATTCTGTTCCTATGTCTTATGATCTTATATGGCTGACCAGGAATCTACTCCATTCTTAGCACCTGCCTTGGAAAACTTCGCAGAATGGCACACGCAACAATGATTTGTGGCTCAGAGTCAGGGACTGTAGCACAAGATCTCCTCTGTTGTTCATGTAACTGTTGCTTGTCATTGTGCAACACATTGTTTAGCTTCAGTTATTTGCTGTATTTTTTTCCTTGTGTTTACAGTCTGCGTAAATCCTTTACCTTTTCTGTTTACCCAGTATCAATATCATCTAGAAATTAGATACAGTCGGTTAGACAGACTGAGATTAGTGATTAATTGGTTTTATGTTGCAAGCCCATGTCTCTATGAAGTTTAGACTGCAGAGACTCGATTCAATGGGTCCAAGAGGTTTAAGAAACCCAAGCGTGCAAGCTATCTTGTCTTTGTAAACTGCATATTTGATTATCCCCATTCTAAGGAGTATTGTGAAATCAGGAATCTTATAATGGATTTATTGGCTGCATATCGTTCTGATAATATTCCAGAATATTTACTAAAGGATCCAAGCCAGTGTTTTAGTTGAGAGCACAGCATTTCCGCGTCATAGAACCAGTACCTAACCACATTCAATGTTCCACTTTGACATGATAGCTGTCTGCCTTTATTTCGTGTATATTTAAGAGACTGGTTGAGAGTGATACCAGGAAGCTAAAAATCTCAATTTATTGAAAGAATCACATAATTTAATCAAATCTTGTGGACAGGATAATCAAAACTACTTTAATTTCTTTTTCGTTTGAAAGGAGCACATATCTGAATACTATCAGAACTTGGTTGTTGAATTGTGTGCTTTGTGGCATTATCAGATTATCCTTTCAAAGACTGTGAAAATGTTTCATAACTTAAATGATTACCTGCTCGTCCTAGTTATTTGAAGTATTTGATATGTTGTATGCATTAGCCAACACCTCAAGACTAGGAAGATTTTCTCCTGCTCTGGAATTGTATGTCCTGAGGTGACAACAGCCCAATGCTTGATCTGTACAGGTAGGGCAGATGATGTTGGAGAGGTAGGTTGTGGGGAGGCTCTGGCTTTCATCTCCTGTTTGTTGGCCTCCACCTGGTCTTCTCAGATGCTCGAGGTGGTTAGAACCTTGGTAGATGCTTCTGATCTAGTTTGGGTACCCTGGGTAAGAGATTCCTATGAGTCAAAAGGGCTGTTGAGTGTCTTCATGGAGACTTTTAAGGGTTTGAATAAGGCATGTCATTAACAGTTTATTTCTGCCCTCCTGGCAACCACTTGCTGTGGTGGAGCTAGAGAGAGTACTTTGCTTTGGGTGTCTTTTGTCAGGCATGGGAATGATGCGGCCTGCCCATCATAGCTGATTGACCATAACCAATGCTTAACGCTTTCGGAGTGTCGGTCTGAGAGAGAACACTGATATTGGCTTGCTTATCCTGCTGTTAGATGTGCAGGGTTTTGCAGAGGCATTACTGGTGATAATTCTTGAGTTGAGATGTCTGCTGTGCATTGACCACGCCTCTGATATATGCAGAAAAGTAGATAGTTCTCTAACCCTGTAAACCATGATTTTGGTGCCAGAATTGAGGACTTTCTGAGGAAACACTCTGTTCCTCAGATAGCCAAAAGCAGTGCTGACACACTGGAGGTATTGCTGAATTTTCATCAATGTCTGTCCTCGCTGGAAGGAGGCTCCCAAGGTATGTGAATGGATCCAGGTTGCCCAGTGGCTTGGAGGGGTCTTGATGGTCGGGGGCAGTTTTTTTTGGTATGTCCAGGCTAACAGCCTAAAACCCTAAGCTGTAACAACCCTAAAGTTGATTTGTAAATGTTGCAGTAATGCTTTTGAGTTTGCCAAATTGAATAATCTATAAAATATTAATGTAAATCTTTCAATTGATTAGAAACTGGTACATAGAACTAGATGGTTGTCCACTTGAGGGAACTTTCTACTAATTTCAGAGACCTGTTAACAGAGATCTGGGAGCATAGCTTGAAGGATCTTGGTTCAGAAAGCCTGTAGCTTTGAAAGGCAAAGGTCAATGAAAAGTTTTACTAAACATTTAATCTTTGTTACTTTTGTCATGTATTTCCTTGTTCTGTTGTGTTTTCTAATGTAGTAATGCACTTTTTTCACAGGTGGTTGAGCATGGGATGTTTGTAAAACACTGTAAAGTAGAGGTTTACCTCTTAGAATTAAAATTGTGTGAAAACAACAACATGGACAATGTGGTGACACGCCATTTCAGCAAAGCAGATACCATAGGTAAACCCATTTCTTTGTGTTATTTCTAGGACATCATTCTGCTGTAAAATGAGGTTGCATCTCAAAGTAAAGCATGTTTTAATATTGGGGATCACAATCTACAGCATTCACCTTCAGTTTGAACGTAAAAATTTGGAAGTGCTATACACCACTCTTCAGAATCCAGTGTTTATCATGTAAGGTTGTGTTGAAAGTAAATTCAGTAAAAAATACAAATGTTTCCAGTGAACAGTTCTAAAAGATAAGAGACAAACGGAAGTTGCTGGAGAAACTCAGCAGGTCTGGCAATGTCTGTGAAGAGAAAGCAGAGTTCAGAACAGAAATGCAGTTTTCTTTCCACTGATGCTGCCAGACCTGCTGAGTTTCTCCAGAACTTTCTGTTTTGGTTTATTTCAGATCTCCATTATCTGCAATTCTGTTTTAAATTCACTGTAAAGGGTATGTATTCAGCTTTCTGACTTTTGTTTATACTATTTTTTTCTTTTTGAAACTGTCAGTGAGGTAGCCAGAATAAGGTGAACTCTGATCAGCGGAGCTTCACCAAGTTTATGCAGGGTAGATTTGTTAAAACTGCCTTTGACAAGTAATTTTGAAAGCATACCTCTCAGTGAATCAGCAGCTAAAGTACAAATCTCTCAATTGTAATATTGGTACCATGGCTGTACAGATTAGCACATTTCATTTAAAGAAGAAGGCTTAAACTACAATTCTAACAAATAAATGAGTTTGCCCTAATTCACTAATTATTACAAGCCCATGTCAGATAAAACCTTGAGATCTTTTTATTAAGAGCAGCATAGCCAGAACCTCAAAACTGTTCCAATAATTCTTGGCAAGATGATTTAGGTACTACTGCAGATTACAAGGTAGTGTGGATGTTTCTCTTGTGTATCAACTTTATTTTTAAAAAAGCACAAGTTTATGCATGCGCTATAACCACAGATTAGAGTAGCTATGTATCATAGAAACAACAAGGATAGTGCCAAGATAGGCAATGCAGGTAAAACAACACCAGTACAGGAAATGGAGATATAGAATAGATAGCCAGTGCCACGTTACCAACTGAGCAGAAGTGAAGGGTTCAGCTTCCAAAATGTTAGATATGAGAGAAATGGCATCATTTGGAAAAATTAAGGCAACAAGGATGGCTTGCAGAAGCCAGAAGATGAAAAAAAAAATCAAGATATACTCAGCTTTTCAACAGTAAATTTCTAGGCAAATGCCAAACCCAAATGACACTGGTTAATATTTTAACCTACTTTTGAATCAACCTATTCTGATAAGTTGTCACACACCTCTTGCACAGGTAGGACTTGAATCCAGGCCTCCTGGCTCAAAGATTAGGATACCACTACTGCACCACAAGAGCCCTTAGAAGTCTGATGCTGTACTAACTGAACTGTGGGCCCTTAAAAATCTTTTGCACTGGTATTCCCAATACTCTCCCATTCAAGTACTAACCAAGCCTCTGTCTGCTTAGCTTCTGAAATCAGATGTTTTCAGACTAGCATTGTAATTGGCAAAAAGGCTTGCTGTAAATGCTGACACTCCTTTCTTGTATGTCTCTGACTCCTGATTCTTGTCCCTCTTGCAGCCTGTCCAATTTGAGTTGTTGCAACTTTGTTGTTGCAACTGTGGCAGGGAATATTTACTTGTGGATAACTGAGTGCCTTAGGAGCCTTGAGAGTATGCAAGAGGTCATACTGTACATAACAACATTACATTGTTGCTAAGAAAGCAACTGATTTAGATTTTGAATTGCCGCAACAGTAGCTTTTCAGGTCTGTAGGTTATGGATTATTTCTACCTACTAAATAAGTCACTTGTATTATTTCTGTGGCAGTTCCTAGTCCGCAGGATAACAATTGATCAAGGCAGGTGTCGATTTTAATCAGTGGCATAACTCTAGTAGTCGATGGAAGAGGGAGGTCTAAGGTAAAGCCTTGCTTTGAGCAGTGTATTTATATTCTTGTCGGATTCCCATCTGGAAAACATCAGTCATGCGCTGCCATCTACAGTTCAGCACTTAGTTCAGTGTTATGTGGGTTTAGATTTACAGTTAAAATATGGCAAATCTAGCTGTCTAACTTTGAAATTATCCAAATGCAACACAAAATAAGCAATTGATCCTATTTATTGCAAATAAAAGTAATGTTAAAATAATGCAGTAATCAGTTTATGAATAAAGTATATGTCTGGAAACTAAAATGTATGAAAGCCAAATCACTTCTATGTATTCCAATGTCATTTATATAGGATTTCTGAATCTTCAACTAGTGACATATGGGTTTTCCATGTCTGAAGGAGTTTTAATGATTGATATAACTATTTCAATAACAATTGTGATTTTTTTTTTAAACATTTGAGAGCGAATGTTCAGGTAGGCTAGTGAGAATTTTGGAAGGTTTACTTTGGAAGACTAGTGTGAGCAAACAAAATAAACAGTTCTCAATTAGGTTTTCAGTTTAGAAGATCGGAGACTGATATTTTGTTTTCTGTTTTGATTAGGGGAAACAAAAATAACTTAGGGAGAAAAAAAGGTTAATTTTCAGTTTGGGCAGTTTGTGGAAGGCTTGATTGAAACTGGATGCATAAACTAGTTGCTCCTGAGAAAGGGAGGTAGTTTAAAACTGTAAACGAGGCTAACTCTGTAGGAGGTAATAACCTCTTCCTGGAGTGTATCAGATTCTCAAGAGTGAACTTTAGAGGTGAAGGTAGGTGGAATTCACGCTGTTGTAATGGAAGTGTATTTTACCATGTATTTAGAAATCTTTAAATTAGCATTACATGCAGTTAGTTTCTTATTCCTATTTTATCTACAATCCTTTTGTGTAATAAATGTTTGCTTTATTGTTAAATTCAAACTGCAGCTTTGTGTTTGTGTACTCACAAAAGGCTACCTCATTAAACGCAAATAAAAAAGACAAAACGTGATCTGACTTATCCAAGAATAACTGGGATCATAATTATAGCATCTTGTTGTTCTCTCTTTGTAAAACTAAAATATGAAGCAAACATTTGCATTTTAACCAAGCATCTTGGCATTTGTTCATAAAAAGAAATGGTTCTTGCGTACAGTACTCACAACTCTACAAAGTTATTTGAATTTTGCAAATTTTCAGACATACCTTTGCCTGATATCAGGTAATAGTACAGTCGGTTCTGCTACAATGCGATGGTTGCTTTCCTGTGCAACACCGCATTATAGAAAATCACGCTATAGAAATAACAGGGTCTGTGGGAAAAGTGGGGTTAGGGACAGACCAGAAAAAAAATCACTCAAAGGCCTAACACGCTGGATAGCACAGTTTGAATAAATGTTAAATTCATATCTAATAATGAAATAAAAATAACTTACCTTGGAAAAATGTCAAGATGACTTTGATGGGAGTGGAGGTTTTGAGGTTGCTCTGTTAATGCAGGGGCTGAGGGTTGTCATCGTCATTGTCATCGTCATTGTCATCACCTTCAGTTGTGGATGCAGTGTTAGGGCGAAAAATAGTTATTCCAGAAGTGGATGGTTGTGGTTCATTGCCTGACTGTTTCTTGGGGGTTGGCTTAATAAAAAAACAATTTTTGCTGCTTTTCCCTTTTTCTTTTTCATGAAGAAGCTGTTCATAGGGTGCCACGTAAGATCTTATTCCTCAAACTGCTACCATGCTGAGTTCTGCATTTGTAATCGTTGTCCTCTAAGAGTTGCAACTGCTTCTCAATTTCCCTCAGGATAGAAGACAAAACAGAAGTGGAAAGTTTTCATGGTGCTGCATCCTGGACTACTACTACTTCAACTCCAGCTTCCACTCCCCCCTCATAACAAGTTGTTGTAGATCAGCTTTAGAAACGTCTTTACAGTGGGACTCAAGCAGCTGTTCCACATCCTCACACTCCACTTCTTCAAATCGAGCTTGCTTTGCAAGATTGACACAATGTTCTTTGATTCTTGGGAGCTCCTCTGACAAATGTTGAGGGTTATTTAATAAATTATGAAATCTTTAAACCCTATAACTTGTGATTTTGTAATCCATGCAATTTTGTTTTCAATATACGATAGTGTGTTTTGCTAAGTGTAAGGACAGGAAAATACCTTCAATGGACCATTTAAGTCATTCTCTTTACATGTTGAAGCCAAGCCGTGACTATATTTACACTCAAAATATGATTTTGTTTTTCTTACATAATTTAGGTAAGTGTTTAGCCGTTCAGCCACTTTGAGAATGTTCCACCTTAATAAAGTTATGACTGATCCACACCCTAACTAATCTTTGCCCACATCTCTCCATGCCTCTGATCGTAAAAAAATTAATCAATTGAAAATTTAAAGTTAGCAATTGATTTGGCATTAATTGGACTGTATTTAGAAATGTTTCCTAATTTCACTCCTGAATGGCCTGGCTCTAATTTTTAGTCTCTATTCTTACAGACCCCAACCAGCAAAGAAAATTTGTCTGCTTGCCATATTTGCTCCCCTTAATATCTTGAAAACCTTGACATTTGTCTTTCTTTGCCTGTCTCCATCGTCCATCACTCAAGGGAGGCAGCCACGTCAATTACATGGCATACGTCAAGCTTTTAAATGCATGTAAAGCCTCTTTGATATCCAAGTTAAAGTAGTTTTCAAATGAACCTTTTAACTTATAATTTTAAAACAATGTTTAATTATTGTGGTTGCTTAAGTGATCTTGCTGTCATTTGGTTTCTTACCCAGTTATGATTGATTTGTTCATTTGATAACTAATGTTTCTAATGGATTTGTATGTTTAATTGCCATATTTCATTTATGCCCCCTTTCCTTAACAGATACAATAGAAAAGGAGATGCGAAAACTGTTCAATATTTCAGCTGAAAAGGAGACAAGGTTGTGGAATAGATACATGACAAATACTTATGAGCAGCTTAACAAACCAGATAGCACTGTACAAGATGCTGGTTTGTATCAGGGACAGGTGGGTACAACATTCTTTAATTATGCATGGTGACAGTGATGCTTGAAGTGAGAGCACTTCAAGATTTGGAAGAACTAAAAAATGCTATTGAGAGGGCAGAAGGTAACCATAAAATGTAGGTGCAGAGTAGGCCATTTGGTCTATCAGGTGTGCACAACCTTTCAAGGAGATCATGGCTGATCTGATATTTCTTATCCTCCCTTTCCTGCCTTTTTTTGCATAACCCTTGATTCCTTCTTCACTGGTTAAAAACCTTATCTGTCACAACCTTGAATATTGTTAACAACCGAATCTTGACGCCCCTCTGTAAAGAACTCCACAGGCTCACTGCTATGAGAGGAGAAATTTGTCCATCTGTTTTAAGTAGGTGACGTTTTACTCTGATATGTTTTTGATCCCAGATACTCAAAATCACAAATGTTACAGCACAAAAGGAAGCATTTCAACCCATTGTATTTGCACCAGCTTATTAAATCAGCATGATTGCCTAGTGACAATCTCCTGCTTTTTCCCCATACCATTGCACACTATTTCTCACCAAATAATCATCCAATGCCCTCATCGATGCCACAATTGATCCTGCCTCCACCACATAGAGTAGAATAGAAATTTATTGTCGTGTGTACTTTACATGAAAAATACATCCCCACACCACACTGCCTGTAATAATGACATCATACATAATAATAGAAAAGTAAAATTATGACACAGTTCATCACAGTTCAGTTAACGGCGCTTGGGCTCAGGGAAAGCCGATTAAGGAACAATGAAATGCGGTGAAGATGCAACTGGGATGAAATCGCCATGTCAGGGCAGAAGCCTCTGCCGAAGAAAACCGCCGCACAGTGCAGAGAGAAGTCCCAGCTCCCTATCCAATGCTGCTGCTGATCTGTCCATTCCTCGGCCCAGCCTGCGAGTCTGGGCCGGGGGAATCAGCCCAGGACCTGCTCCTTGCCTGTTGGGAGACCCTGGGCTATGATGGACCGCGTTCAGCTTGTTCTGACGTTCAGGCAGTGCATTCCATGCCCTAACTCGTGTTTTTTATTTGTTCAAGGGATGTGGGTGTCGCTGGCCAGCATTTGCTGCCCTCCCAAATTGTCCAGAGAGCAGTCAAGAGTTAACCATATTGCTGTGAGTCTGCAGTCACATATAGGTCAGACCAGGTAAATGCAACAGTTTCCCTTCCCAAAGGACATTAATGGCCCAAGTGGATTTTTCTGATAAGCAGCAATAGTTTCATGGTGGTCATTAGGCTCTCAATTCCAGATTTTTTAATTCAAGAAGTTACACCATCTACTGTAGCAGGATTCAAATCTGGAGCCACACAACATAACCTGGATCTCTGGATTACAATGATAATACCACATGGCCATTGCCTCCCCAAAAAGGTGTGAAAATGTTTCTCTGCACTTTGCCGTTGCTCCTTTCTCAGAAGGGGTCAACGTCACTGTTTTTTTCCACAAGCAGAAATGCTTCTGCATCTCCCCTGACAAGCCCCCTACGAATCT